CCCCCCCCACCTCCTCGCTCCCTGCCAGAGGGGCGCGCTGGCCGGAGGCCACCAGTGGACACCAACGAGACCGGCCCCTAAGCGTGGAGATGCCGGCGCCGGAGGGCTGCCCACCATCCGGGGGCAAGAAGCGGGGGTCACACGGTGCGATGCCCACCGGATGGGTGGCGGCGGCGGCGGCGGCGGCGGCGGCGTGCGAGAGCAGCACGGGAAACCGGAGAACCGGTGTCCCCTGGCGGGCGCGGCAGGCCGCTCGGTCAACTGTACTGTCTGGCCGGGGTCTACTTGGCCTGCCCCTGGTCTGCTGGCCTCCGGCTCGGCCCGCCAGGCCTGCCTGGCCGGGGCCTCGTCCCCCCCCCCCCCCAGCCCCCTCCGGCCCTCACCCCTGCCCGGGCCCCGCGCCCGGCGTCCCTCCCCCCCCCGGCGGACGGAGCCCACAGAAGGGGAAAGAATTGGACCGTGCTCGGGGGGGGGGGGGGCGCGAGCGGCGCGCATCCCGACCAACTGGCGCTGGCACCGGCACCGCGGATGATCCAGGGGCGCCGGGCCGTTTGCGGCTCGCGCGGGCGGTCCCCGCCCCCTCGCCCGGCGGGCGGAGGCCGCGCGCCCTCATCGACGGCAGGTCGCCCCAGGGGCACTACCCATCTCGGGCCCCGCCCCGGGCTCCGGTGCGTGTGCTGGCCCTGGCGCGCGAGTGAGGCCGGGCAGGGGCGGGGGGGGGGGGGGGGGGGACGGGCAGGGGGGGGGATGTTGGGGGAGGCTCGAGAAGGCGGGCGGCGCGCGTGGCCCCGGCCAGCGGGACTCCAGGGGGCAGGGGGGAGCAGGGGGGAGACCCCGGAAAGACGCCAGGGGCGAGATAACCGGCGCGCCGATCGGCTGTGGCAGCAGGGCCCGCACATGTGCGGTTGTCAAATGGGCCGGCTCATGGCCCACACTCGCCTCGCACGCGCATGGGGGGGTGGGGGCGGGCGGGGCGACCTGCGCCCCCCCCCCGGGGGCGGGGGGGGGGGGGGGGGGGGGGGGGGGGGGGGGGGGGGGGGGGGGGGGGGGGGGGGGGGGGGGGGGGGGGGGCGCTCGGCCGCGGCCGCCCCGCCGCGGGCCCGGGGCCGAGCGATCCGCACCGGGGGGCCACGCGCCGGGAAAGGCGCACCCACGCCCCGGCCTCTGGCCTGCCCCCGGCGTCAACCCGCCCCAGGTCCCCCCCCCGCGGTGCCCGGTGAAACACAGTGTCGGATGCACACGCACGCGCATGCACGCCCGCGCGCACAAGTGTGTGTGTGTGTGTGTGCGCCGGCCAGTCTGGTCCGGAGGCCGGCCGCCGAGCCGCGCCCCCGGGGCCCGCCTTTTGGCGGGGCACGGGTCCTGTGCCGGGGCGTCCCGCTAGTCGGTCTCCCCGGGAGAGGGCTGCCCGGGTCGGGGGCGGGACGGGGACAGGGGGGGCGGGGAAGGGGGGCAAACGGCTGCACATGCGCGCGCGCGCGCGCGCGCGCACGCCCGAGACCGAGACAGAGACGGAGAGAGCGAGAGAGAGAGGGAGGGAGGCGGCGACAGCGAAGGGGACACGCGCGGCCGGGCGGGGGGCGCCCTCGGCCGCCAGCGGGCAAGGCGGGCCGCACCGAGGGCGGCCGGGCTCTTTGCCCGGGGACAGAGAGGGCGAGGGAGAATGGCGGCAGATTGAAGGCGGAGGCCATGACGCGATGCCCCTGGCGGCGGTGCAATCACCAACTATTCCCGGCGGGAAGATGAGGAATTCGCCGCGGGGGGGGGCCGGAAAATCAAAACAGTCTGTCCGACCTGAGGCAGCCTCAATGCAAATATACACTTTTGCCCACCGTTCCTGGCCAAATGACCGGCCTCCCATTCCAGCGAAGGATCAGCCAGACGCCGGTGCTCTCTCGGGGCCTGGCGGCCGGCGCTGCGGGAGGGCCTTTCCGTGGGCCGGGCGTCGGCTCGGTGGTGTCGGCGAGGGAGCCCGAGAAGCCCCCGGGGGCGGCGGGGCCGGCCGGAGCTGCGCGGCGGGCGCCGGGCTGCGGCCGCCGCCGGCGGCCG